CCTCCCGAGCAGTTACCTCTCGGAAAATGCCATGTGCACTTGCAGTAATTAAAATATATCATGATTGGTTGTCAAAACGTCTGAAGATGGAAATAATATACGGTTGGAGAAGCATTGTCTTGGCGAGAATTTCTCCTTAGCAAGATTTGAACCCATGATCTCAGCTGTGGTAAGCTGTGGTGTTGGGACGCCTGTGACCGTGGACCACTGAGTCACGTGACCAGCTCGGTAATGCATATTTAATGACAAGTTTGAATTATGAGAGTGGAAGGGATACAAAACAAACTGGGATACTTATTCAAAGTAAACACTGACATATTAATAGATCGAGTAGCTTCTTCACATCAAAGCATTTGTTAACTCACCATGTCCCAGAAGAATGTTAAGTTCACACTTAAAAATAATCAAAATTTCATATCTGTATATGTTTACACTTTGACAGTTTAGACTTTGTATCAACAATACATATATTACATCAATAGTGGAAATTATATTCTCTGGATAGAATTACCCTGCCGTATGAATGTAGAATTTCACCACTGACTCACGTTTTTTCTACACCACTGAGTACAGAATCACACTCTTGTGAGCATAGAGACCCATTGATTTTAATGTTTGCAAAAGATGTGTGAACAAAGCATTTTTGGTTCATCAACTACAGCAACTTCGATTCTTCAGCTCACGGTATATGCGTCGAATTGCGAGTGTCTCTTCAGATGTATTGTCTATGTGATGGATTCCCCTTACCCCTGCAGACACTGGTGCAAGGGTCGGTTAAAACCTGCGGAGCGCGAGCCGCATGCGGCACTGCAAGAACTGCTGCTTCGTGACGTTATTTATTCAGGACCACCGTCCCGTATTCACACGCGTTGCTGCTTTTGAAATATCGAGGGTTTTTTTTGTTACGAATTTGAAAAAAAAAGTGGTTGCTCTTGTTTTTTTTGGGTTGCTGACCCCTGACCCCAGTGGATGCTAAAATTAACACAATATATAAAATAGAAGGAGAATAATTGACCAATGAATGAAATCGCTAATTCTGAATTGTGACAATTAAAGTATCCGGGCTGTTGTGATCATAACACCTTAAGTGGACTAAGCACCCTGCGTCTGCTCCGTATGCACACACACAATCCAAGGAAGATTCCACCAGAATTGTAAAATCCAGAATTGAACCAAAATTAAACAATGCGGTTAGATTTGGCTACTATAACATCCCACCTATGATATAAGTCACTTGGATGGGCTGTCACGTGGGGCCAGGCTTGCCTCTGAAAACGAGCCAATAGCTCAGTGGGCTTTGCCTGGTAAATAAAAATAGTAAACAGTATTCACACATTGCAAGCTGGGTTGGCCTAGCATTTACACATGAAAAATGTATTCGTGTTACAAAACGTAGGGTTGTAGATGAACGAAGGCATGGTTTTAAAGTTTTGGAATAAATGATTTACAAGATCCCTGGTGTAAGAAACGTGTGATTTATTGATCGATAGACCCCCATCATATGCAACATATATACCTGCAAATGTGTTTCCTTTATACAAATGTCAACCGATAATAAATTGATGCCCAGCAAAAAAAAAACACAACAATGGTGTCTGGTGTTAGACCTGCGGGGCTGGGCACTCACGACGACCTATATTACTGCGCGCACAGGAACAAAGATCAGGACCTCCAGTTGACAAACGACCACGGACGCGTTTTACAGCCGTTGTTGGACGTCTGAACATCACCAAACAGACGGGCAGCCTTGGGTTTCACGCACTGCCCTCCATCCGATCTCCTTGGGAAGTGTATTGGCATCATTGTGCAGAGAGAGAGAGAGAGCTCCTCTGCCTCGTCAAACATCGAGAGCAATGCAACTCATAATACTCATACCAGTGCAGTTTCATTTGTTTTTACCATACTTGCATTGATACATTACTGTATTGTGTATCAAGGGGATGGCCATTTCTTTTGTGTTATGTGCCGTGCATTCAACAAATGCATGCCCTATTGAGTTGGGCTTGGACGTGGGGTTTTTTTTTACTTTCTCACAAATTCCACGACCAGACGAGAAAAAAAGAAACATAATTTCATAGCTACTTTTGAAACTGGCTACCGTGATCCCATAAATCCAATACCTGTACTGTATATAGGTTAACACACGAGGAGTTGTTTTCTAAAAGCCCTTTGTGAATTGGCAGTCCGCATGCATCTGCATCGCATTATGAAGCAGCAGACACACGTGCACACACACACACTAAAATACGTTTGACGTTGCATACTCTCGCTGTCTCTATAACGAAACATATTTCGATACTCTATTGACCAAACCACTGATGGGATGAGGGCCTCACCCACACGATGTCGGTCATGGGGATGAGGTTTTTTGACCATACTTCACCATGCTGGTCAATGTCTGAGGGCCCAGGACCGGTTCAGGTATCACTCACCACAGATATTGCCCATGTCCAGGCATCGAACTCGGGTCACCGAGTTCACAGCGACGTGCGCTAACCACTTGAGCCACCCCCCCCTGCCCCCCCACCACGTAGCGCTCCTCGTCAACTTATAAAGTAAAATTATGCATTGTGTATAGACGTTAGAGACATTGTCGAGTTGTAAACCACTTTGACCGGTACTCTATACTCGCAAGACGTAAATACATATTTCTAACGTGTTTTGTCGCCAACCTCGAACGAAACGTGATAACGCATTTAAATTTCAAACACGTCGAAAGATGGAAGGAGAGAGCGAGAGAGAGAGAGCGAGAGAGAGATAAAAAACGAGTGGTTGTATTTGAAAAGTGGAATGTAAGTAGCTTACAGGCCACTTGAAGTTACTTAGAGGAGCAATTTGGGAATGCGTTGTGTGTTTAAATGCGCCCGAGACGCTTCGTGAGCAATGAATCATTAACTCATCCGTGCGTTTGTGTGACTTGTAAGGCGATACACCCTTGCCGGCCAAGACGGCGTTTGAACTCAACGAATACGAGCGAAAAACGGGGGGAGAAGAGGGAGAGGGGAAAAAAACACACGCAAACACTCGGTTGCAGTAAATCACAAAGCATCGGTAATTATATTGTTGGTTCTTTCGGTAAAGTCACGTAGAAGGGAAATACTAAAATAAAAAAAAAATATAAAACAATAAAAATTCTCACGACGTTTCGACTGCAACACAAGCAATCGTCATCAGGTGTGAAATCCACAGACGATTGCTTGTGTTGCAGTCGAAACGTCGTGAGAAGTTTTTATTGTTTTAAATTCATATTATTTTATTATTTCCCTTCTATGTGACTTTACCGAAAGCACCAAGAATATGAATCCCTGCAGTCACGAAAGCTTTCAATCAAAATTCATCGGTAATTAATTATTATCAAACGGCGACGATGTTAAGCGGCCTGTCCGTGTCTGTCTATCGCATCGAGAGATGAGAGGGGGGTGGGACTCGCTCCATCGATAGAGAGGATCCTGTGTGGTTTTGTCGGGTGGAGGGGGGGCGGTGTCGACCACTCGAGTTGTAAACTGAGGAATATATATACACGCCCCGATGATATCAGAGTAGCAGTTATAGCCAGCGGCTGTTTCAGAGCCACTTTGTTTTATATATAGAGAGAGAGGGGGGCGGCAAAGCTGCGCTCTGTTTATTGCAGTCAAAATTTATTGATCGCTTTGCGAGGCACAAAGAGACAGCGACGAACGCGGATCGATGTGATCGGGATAGCGATTCTAACATGACCTGTTCATTATGGAGCGTACACTTGCGGACTGCAGCGTATCCAGTCGATATCCAGAGGGGGTGGGTGCGTGGGTGGGGAGGCTGTGTAATCACGAATTCATAATATTTGGTTATTTCCGTAAAGTCACGTAGATTGAAAAATAATAAAGAAATAAAGTGAATAAAAATAATAAAAAACAAAAAAACACTAAACCATTAGTGTTTGAAAAAATAAAAAAATTTTATTACTGTAACTTTCTTTTTTTATTTTTCTATCTACGTGACTTTACGGAAAGAACCATGGAATATGAATTCCTACAGCCAAGAAAGTTTCGAGTCAAAATTGATCACGCGCGCAGTTTTGCGTGGACTTACGGCAATCATTAGAATCATCATCTGTGGGGAGTGTATCTCATGGGTTTGCACCATCATCCTACACATGGCAACGCGGCACCCCCAGGGTTCTGTTTTCTTTCGCAGACCTCCTGCTCTTCTTATCCTCCCCCGGTCTCACACCCCGAGACGAAAGCTCGCACCCCCCCCCCCAACCGATTGTATGACCGTCGCAGAACAACACCGATTCTCGTCGTATGGCCGTGCTTGCTGGCTGAAGGGAGGGAACACGTGGAATCGATCTGCCTCAATCCCCACCTCCCTCCTCCCTATCCCTGTTATCCTTCTTAGATCTCAGCCAGCCTTCATTATCACCTTGTTGGTAGATCCTAAACAAATGACCCCCCGACGCTTAAATGCTTCCGTCCCAGAGCTTCGATAATTATCACCCTGCGGATGCAGGGTTGACTAAAATCACACACGTTACATAGATCATGGGGCCTCCTTTGCCAGTACCAAAATATGAGAATAGGTTTTCTCCTTTTTTTAAGAAAGCTGTCTCTGGTGTGGGCCAATCAGTTTCAAAGACAATGCATATATCATCAGAGTACGTGTTTTGTTTGCATTCTGACCACAAGTATTGTGGTTCGTGCAGACATGATTCCTTGTAAAAGGTTTCAGTTTGGTGTTTTAACATCTTAACACAACTGTTTTGTTGCCAAAAAGGGGGAAACCCGATTCCCACGTTATATCGATCTTTAGATCACCTTCTGACATCTTCCACCCCCATCTCCCAGTGCGTGGCATCATCTTTTTTTTAGTTTAATTTATTTGGTATAGCCCTGTGAGCCATTGGGCTCTTGAATCTGGTGCAACCGCAACAAACAAAAAAACATGAACAAAAAAACATCTCAAAGTGACTATGCGCAAACAGAAAAATCCAGGTGACAGTAAAACCCATGATCTCTCACCTTGTGGGGGGCTTTGAGCAGACGGTGAACTCCAGAGATCTGCTCGATGAGTGGGGTGTCCTCCAGAAATGTGTAGGTAGGCGGTCGCGTCGGCTCGGGGAAGTTGGTGCTGGAGAACGGGTCCGTGTCGTCCAGAAACTGGACTCGGCACGTCAGCGTGGCCATCGCCGTTCCGTGTTCCGAGTCTCGCTGTTGCTGTCGACTAATGTAGCCCCAGCGCTAATGCACGGCAATTTGTGTCGCGCGGACGCCGTGTGCGCGTGACGTTGATGATGATGATGCTGATGATGATGACTATTGTGGCTTAATCCAAGCGGTTATACGGGATGCAAATACGAAACCCCCAATTTAAAGAAACGTGGATTTTTTTGTTATTTTCTTTCTTTCCAAAGCCGGATAAGTATAACAAGCGAGAGAGAGATACAAAAAAACCACTACGACGTAATACTACAAACGTCAATGAATCCAGAACGAAACCACAATTCTAAAGGAATTAACAAATAGACACGCACGCCACTCAAAGCAACCCCCCCCCCCCCACCACCACCACGACTGCGTTCGCTGTATAGGCGAAGCTATCAAAATGAAGCGACCGATCCGACCAGGGGTGCTAGCCTCAACACTTGCTGCTGCTGCTGCTGGTGCTGCTGCTGGTGGTGCCGGCGTTGCCTGGGGTCTAGTAGTGGCGGCGTTGCTGCTGCTGCTGGCGGCGGTGGTAGCGAGCGGCTGCGTAGCGCAATGCGCGCCTGCCCACTGCGCTCATGTGAGCGCGCGTCTTCTTCTCTCGCAGCTCTTCAGCCTCTCGCCACCACACACAGCCGTGTGGTGATGATGATGATGGTGGTGCTGATGATGCTGCTGCTGCTGCCGCTGCCGGCTGACGCTGGCAGTCGTAGCAGTAGTGGAAGCAATGACATAGCCCCCGAATGACGGGGGTCGCTGCCGCTGCTGTTTCGTCGATGGGATGGGTGGGTGTTGCTGGGAGGAGGAGGTGGGAGTGAGGAAAGGAGAGAGGTGGGGGGGCTGGAGGTGGGGGGGCTGGAGGTGGGGGGTGGCTGGAGGTGGGGGTGGCTGGAGGGGGGGGGGGCTGGAGGGGGGGGAGCTGGAGGGGGGGGGGGCTGGAGGTGGGGGGTGGCTGGAGGTGGGGGGGAGCTGGAGGGGGGGGGGTGGCTGGAGGGGGGGTGGCTGGAGGTGGGGGGTGGCTGGAGGTGGGGGGTGGCTGGAGGGGGGGGGGTGGCTGGAGGGGGGGGGCTGGAGGTGGGGGGGAGCTGGAGGGGGGGGGTGGCTGGAGGGGGGGGGTGGCTGGAGGGGGGGGGGCTGGAGGTGGGGGGTGGCTGGAGGGGGGGGGGAGGGCTGGAGGTGGGGGGGTGGCTGGAGGTGGGGGGGGGCTGGAGGTGGGGGGGTGGCTGGAGGTGAGGGGGGGCTGGAGGTGGGGGGTGGCTGGAGGGGGGGGGTGGCTGGAGGTGGGGGGGGGCTGGAGGTGGGGGGCTGGCTGGAGGTGGGGGGTGGCTGGAGGTGGGGGGGTGGCTGGAGGTGGGGGGTGGCTGGAGGGGGGGGGAGGGCTGGAGGTGGGGGGGTGGCTGGAGGTGGGGGGGTGGCTGGAGGTGGGGGGGGGCTGGAGGTGGGGGGGTGGCTGGAGGTGGGGGGTGGCTGGAGGTGGGGGGGTGGCTGGAGGGGGGGGGGTGGCTGGAGGGGGGGGGGGCTGGAGGTGGGGGGTGGCTGGAGGTGGGGGGCTGGAGGGGGGAGGGCTGGAGGGGGGGGGTGGCTGGAGGTGGGGGGGGGCTGGAGGTGGGGGGGGCTGGAGGGGGGGCTGGAGGTGGGGGGGCTGGAGGGGGGGCTGGAGGTGGGGGGTGGCTGGAGGTGGGGGGTGGCTGGAGGTGGGGGAGGCTGGAGGTGGGGGGGGGGCTGGAGGTGGGGGGGGTGGCTGGAGGTGGGGGGGGGGCTGGAGGGGGGGGCTGGAGGGGGGGGGGCTGGAGGTGGGGGGGGGCTGGAGGGGGGGGGCTGGAGGGGGGGGGTGGCTGGAGGTGGGGGGGGGCTGGAGGGGGGGCTGGAGGTGGGGGGGGGGGGGCTGGAGGGGGGGGGGGCTGGAGGGGGGGGGCTGGAGGGGGGGGGGGCTGGAGGTGGGGGGGCTGGAGGGGGGGGCTGGAGGGGGGGGGGTTGGAGGTGGGGGGGGCTGGCGGAGGGGGGCTGGAGGGGGGGGGGGGCTGGAGGTGGGGGGGGGGGCTGGAGGGGGGGGGCTGGAGGTGGGGGGGTGGCTGGAGGTGGGGGGGGGCTGGAGGGGGGGGGGCTGGAGGTGGGGGGGGGCTGGAGGGGGGGCTGGAGGTGGGGGGTGGCTGGAGGTGGGGGGGCTGGAGGGGGGAGGGCTGGAGGGGGGGGGTGGCTGGAGGTGGGGGGGCTGGAGGGGGGGCTGGAGGGGGGGGGCTGGAGGTGGGGGGGGGGGCTGGAGGTGGGGGGGGCTGGAGGGGGGGGCTGGAGGGGGGGGGGCTGGAGGTGGGGGGGGGGCTGGAGGGGGGGGGCTGGAGGTGGGGGGGTGGCTGGAGGTGGGGGGGGGCTGGAGGGGGGGGGGCTGGAGGTGGGGGGGGGCTGGAGGGGGGGCTGGAGGTGGGGGGGGGCTGGAGGGGGGGCTGGAGGGGGGGGGCTGGAGGGGGGGGGGCTGGAGGTGGGGGGGGGGCTGGAGGGGGGGGGGCTGGAGGTGGGGGGGGGGCTGGAGGGGGGGGGCTGGAGGTGGGGGGGGGCTGGAGGGGGGGGCTGGAGGGGGGGGGGGCTGGAGGTGGGGGGGGGGCTGGAGGGGGGGGCTGGAGGGGTCCGGGGGTGGATTTGGAAAGAAGGAGGAGCGCATTGATGGGGCTGACGCTGCTGCTGTTGTGGAACGCAGATGCGCGTGTCGAAGCCGGCCGGGTCGAATACGCGTAGCCGATGTCCATGCGGCAGTAACAGCGGCGGGTTCGGTTTGTGCGCACGTTTTATGGGACGCACTTATTTATACCCCCAAAATTCGCTATATGCGGTTTGGTATTCGCTCATATGCTGTCGGACGTGGGACGACAACATTGTGTGTGGTGTGTACGGCAGCTGTCTCGTGCGGTTTCGCCGTGCGCGCCCTTCTTTTGGAACACATCTACCGCATAAAGCGAGGGAACCCTGCATATGATTGTGGTTAGCGTCAATGTGCTACAAAGACAGGGTTGTCTGAGTTCGATTCCTGTCCAGGGATAACATAACCAGAAAATGGTAACATAATTATCAACCTTCAGTGGCTATTGTACGTGGTGCGCTGTAAGGCCTTCAACGATGGGAAGACAAAGGCGGCCGAGCGCGGTTGTGGCCACACACCACGCCATCGTGTGGACCCTGTGCCTCCTTAATAGTTGATCACTTACAGCACTTGCTTATGACTGTTGAGTGATCTTCGGCTTTAGTTTGCTCCCAGTAAGTCGAACAGACTCTTTGGCAACGCGCGTGTGTGGTTCTGTCTCCGTGTGTCGGTGTCGTTGTGACGCATCAAACAAACCCCAAAGGAAGCACTGAAGCGGATAGCGCACAGAGTCACAGACTGGACAAGCCATCGTCCATACAGGGTGCTGAGTTCTGTAACTTTTAGTCGAACAGACGAATAATCGTGCATTCGTGTGAAGTTTACCTCTCCTAAACTTTGCAGTTCTGTCGTGTTTTTGTATTGCTTGTTGCAAGGCCGTAGCCATGGAGTCAACATTGGGGGGGGGGCAAATCTTCCAGGGTGTCTGGGGGTCCCAACCCAGAAAAATATCTAGATTTTAAAACTCATTTCCTGCCTAAAATGTTTAAAAATTCACTAACACATGGGAAGGACGTTTTTATTTACAATAATGTTGTATTACATTGCTCTGTTTTTAGTCCAGATATTGTGGCCAAGGTTTAGCAAATTGTTGTTTTTATTTACATAGCATAGCAATTTTTTGATAGCTATATATTGGCGGGGACAATTTGAGCATATTTGAATATTATAATTACGGCCGTGGTTTGTTGTAATGCTCTGACCCACCCCTACTGGACATCTGAAAAAGAACTTCATAGCTCATCGGATTCCTCCAGCATAGATACATGTTCTGATTCTGAACAGCTGCAATGCGAATGGATGCTGCCCGTGATACGATGTGGATATAATGGTCAGCTCGCTGGACTTGCAATGAATCTTCCTGCACGGAAAGTTAAAACAATAGGGACGTTTCTTAAACCTCGCCGCCCTCTGTCCACCCACAAGATGTACATGGGTACAGTCTCAATTAGTCTATTGGCAGGCCGCGTGTGGTGGGGTAAAGTGTGGGTCCTCCCGCTTCTGCCAAGACGTCTAGCCAGCAAAGACGAGACATCTCAACTATGGAGAGTATATTTAGTATATTGATTATACTGATGTAGTTTATATTTTAGTTTTTACGTGGTGGTTTAGCTGCTGCAGCTCGATTTAAAGCTTTCGTGACTGCAGGGAACCAAGAAGATGCTGCAGCTCCTCACTATTAAAATTCCTTCCCTTTATTACTGCTAACCCTACTCCCTCCTTTTGATGCTGCTAATCCTGCATAATGCGACTTTGAACCCCCCCCCCCGACCTCCTACGCATTCCACAAGTAGTGACTAATCCCATATCTGCATTTCCCATAAATATGCTAAATTCCTCTTGATATGCAAATTCCTATGTCAAGACGCCCTTCACCATCCAACCCAGCTTAAATATACGCTGCCAAGCATGGTGGTGCTCATTCAGACGCTGTCTTTCCGACAGACCTGTTCTTCACCTGAGGACGGTTGCTTGCGCTGTGGCCGAAACGTCGTGAGAATTATATTATTATGTTTTATTTTTATTATTTTATTATTTCCCTTCTACGTGACTTTACCGAAAGAACCAAAAGATCTCAACTATCTTGTAGAGGGGGCTCTTCAGAATTCCCTCGAGTGTGGGCCCTGTCGTCGGCAGTGGCGTGAGCAAGACATTGCAGGGCCGCACCTTTAGCTTTTACCTTGCTAATACAAGGGAGTGTAGCGTCCACAGGCGAATGCAATGCACACTGTGGAACAAGTCTCAGTTTAGTTACGGTGGAACTTTTACCAAAACATATATCACATCAGTTTGCAATAATTTAATATACAGAGCTGTGTGGTGTGCGTGTGTTCGAAACAACTATTTTGCCATTATCCATATATATAGAAATATGCATGGTGATCCGTGTTTAAATACCGCACTAAATGAATAGTTTAAGGTTAAAGAGACTACTGAGCCGTTAATTCCCAATCACGCACCCACATTTGGTTCCTCTCTTAAGATGTGGGAGATCATTGGCTCGAGTCCATCGTGGCCCGGATTTGAACATCTCGTTCAACAACGACACTCGCTTTTCACGTGAGATGGGTGACAGCAGCAGTGGCCCACGTGGGACGGTGACGGCATCCGTAGGAAACCTTCCAGCAGTAGATAAACAATCGCCGATGATGAGTACGATTCTATCTAATTGCATCGCTGTACCTGTAGCCTTTAAACAACGGAAATGACTTCAATGTCAGCATTACCGCATGTGCGTTCTGGTCCTCGTTTTTGTTTGTATAATTCACACATTGTGCGCTGCCACTTGTTTTGGATAACGCCGAGATATCGTGAGCGTGTTCATTGTGAGTGCTGATCTGATATTGCCCTCTGCTGGTACAGAGCAAGTTACCGGCTTGGGGTTTATCAGGGAATCAGTTGCTTTGGGAACTGTTTCTATGGAAACTCAAAAACACACACGCACAGGCACAGTAGCTGGTGTTGTTTCCCGGTAATTTTAATTGAGTAGATCACGTTGCCTGAAAAGTTCCGCTTAAGCTAATTGCCGTAGAGAATGCCACAAAAATGGTTTCAATTGAGATTCCATTTTAGTCTTTTTTTTCACATAAAAGCCAACGTGACACAAAACAAGCTGTGGTAATTGTCATGTGAATTTGATGCAATTGTAGATTTG